AGGAGCAAAGAAGCTACTAGGGGCTCCTGGCCTTACTACTAGGAACAGGAGCAAAGAAGCTACTAGGCGTTCCTGGCCTTACTACTAGGAACAAGGGCGCTACTAGGGGCTCCTGGCCTTACTAGTAGGAGCAAAGAAGCTACTAGGGGCTCCTGGCCTTACTACTAGGAACAAAGAAGCTACTAGGGGCTCCTGGCCTTGCTACTACGAAGAACAAGGGCGCTACTAGGGGCTCCTGGACCCGTGTGAGACTTCTGAGGAACACTGCTCTAAGCAGCCTTGCAGCAGGCTTCCTGACGGGTGAATGAGCTGTAGACCTCCAAGATCGCTTTAGGCTGCTAGCAGAGAGCGCATCATGGCGAACCCATTCTGCAACAGCAGGCTTTTGAGAAACGCACCCACCCAAGCCAATCTAGTAACTTTGATCAATTGGGAGAGCTTCAGTATCAACATCCATTATCAAGTGTTGTCCGAATGACTTGCATTTTGATGAAACATCCTAATTGGTGGAATGTATTCGTGATGAATGCAAACAACTGCCTGCTGCATGATATGGATTGATATGGGGGATTGGGCGAGAAACACGTGTTCAATCCACGGTTCTAAGTGATTTGGGGTAATTGAGGGGATCACGTGCTGGATCTCAAGTCCAATGTGCAAAAGATCGTTGGAGTGTGCACCACGGAGGCGAAGATTGGCGGCGCTGCATTCAAGAGTTTCAGCAAGTTCGAGCTTCCGGGTACATGCCTGATGCTTTTTCCACAGGCAGGGATCCTGATTGCCTTCGCAAGTGATGCAAACCTTCTTTCAAGAAGTTCAATGACAATCATAAGAAACAAAGGAAACTCAGAAGTGCCAAAAGGGATGGTATATCCTGGTATATGTAATGTTGTGCCAGGAATTGTGCCACAGTCCTTGCGTCGTGCGGGGCATATGGTAGATAGAAGCCAGCAGTCTTAGAGACTAGCAGCAGTTAGTTGTATAATCAGCTTGGAAACATTTTTTGATCTCCACGACACAAAGTTTTCTTGAAATTTGGTTCCGAGATATGATTCCTGAAGGTGCCTTGTTGTCAGCAACAGCGAAGTCCAAGAAGTGGAAACAGGCCCGTTGAAAACGTTTCACCAGGGCTCTTCATGCATCTGAATCATCAAGCACAGAGGCAGGACAACAGTTGGTAACAAGCCTATGAATACACGACCTACAACCTACAGAGGATGACAGAGAATCACAGAGGATCACAGTGGAATTCCGTCAGATCAACTCCCCCCCTGAAATGAGTTTATAGCTTTTTGTTCGGGGTGGAAATTAATCCGTCGGAGTGCCATTGGAAAAGAGAAGTCATGTCAGCGAGATTCTTGAATGAAGCTGTCACAAAACTGTCCTCGTCTAAAAACACACACACACACATTATATATACATTTTGACATATATATATATATATATAAATGCACATATTCAACCATTCATCAGCTATTCTATTACTTTCACGAATCTTCAGAATAATGTTCTTGCTGGCCTTTGCCTTGCCAGGCGCTGGTCTTGGCGGAAACTGAGCTGGGCACAGAGTGAAGGAACTGTACGATGTTGTAAACTCTGGTTAGTTAGACGTTTAAGACCTTTTGCTATAATCCTAGGAGTGTGTGCTTGTGTTTTGTTTGGGTTGTTTCAAGTTTTTTGTGATTGAGCATTCAATTGGTGGAGTATTCACAAGTTCAAGTCTGTTTCGAGGATGAGAAGAGTGTCGCTGCTTGGCAACGTTGGCAGAGCCGAATGCTTTCACTCATCCACTTGAATGAACCCCAGAGAATCCTCAGCTGTATCTAGAGAAACTTGGACAGCCACAGTCGCTTTATCCAAAATGTCGCGTCCATGTAGGTGTCATTTGTTGCCAGAAAATCCACTCCTGCTGAAATGGATGATGAACGAATGTGAACGAGGAATTGAAGTTTTGTGATTGTGAGGAAAGCACAAACAATTTCATCGGTGCCTGCGAAGAAGTTTGGCCTGTGGCTTTGACCACACTTGGGCATTGTCAATCCCGCAGCGTGCGTTTGTCCCATGTGACTCGACTTGTCAGTTGGCACTTTCGATCTTCGGTTGACATCTACCCATATAGTCACAGTTTGCAACCCCAAAGTTGGCATGTAATTTGATACCTAGTAGTCATCGCAGTGGTGATGGTACTCTGCAGCGTCATTTGCAAAGGCTACTTACCTGGCGACGACCCGCCTGTGCCGACAAGACTGGGAGCGGGCTTTGCACTTTGCTCGGCTTGAAGGCAAGAGATAGAGATGGTAGGCTGATGTGGGCTGTATGCGTAGTCTTCCCAGGATGTGATATAGTTTACCCGGCAACATTAATTGGCATGTTCGATCCTTTGCTTTGAACCTTTTTTTTGTTATTTATGAGGCGACACATCTCGGGCCTTTGTGGAGACCATGAACAGCTGCTTGAGCGCCTTTGAAAACAGCAATTCGTGGGATGCTTGGCCTTGCGGTGGGCAGGGCAACTCTTGTTCTCACGTTGGTGCTTGTAAACAGGAACTCAAGGTGCCCTTTGCCTTGCTAAGCTCTAAGCTCAGGAGGGGGCCTTGGCCCAGATCTTCCTGAGTGAGAGTTGCGGTTTGCGGCCGGACGGGTTGTGAAGCTTTTGTGGGGCAGAAAGTCTTAGATAGTCTCGCATGATGAATCTTTTGTGTAGTGTTTCTACACGTGCATTTCAGAAGTCTTGACTCTCCGAGGTATTGCTTGACAGTTGAGGTTTGTTCTAGCAGTAGTACTGTGATGTACTGGGTTTTCTCGTTAATCATTGTTAACCACACTTTACCTGAACATCTTAAAGCATATCAACGCTAACAAGAGAAGCTTTCGGACATTGTGCAACCGCTTCTTTTCTTCGATGTGGAACCTGTCGACCGTCGTGAGATGTCTCTAGGACACCATCAGCTTTAGCTCTCTTTTGAGCACTTGTGAGAAGGGCTTGCGGTGGCGATGGGCTCTGGAAGGCTTACAAACTACGCAAGAGAGGTGCAACAGGGTTAAGAATGAACATCGGTGTGCCAGTGACGTCTCAGTCTCTTTCCTTCTGAATCTTGAATTTTGAGCCCTGGAATGGAACTGGGAACTCATTGGGTACTTACTTTGCGCATTTGTCGCACAAGGAGGAGTTGTTTAAAGTGCGAACGTTGCGACCAACGTGCGATGAGGGGTAGCTTCCTTTTTTGTCACAATTTCAGCAGACTGCATTCCAACGACATCATTTGATGCAGCTGTGTCATAGACAGATTTGATGACTGCCAGGCACATATGCACGGACAGGAGAGGGGCAAGTGAAATGTCTTCTACCTGTTACTCGTGCTTGTATAATCTTGTACACCATGATTATCCATGATTCATTTGTACCTTTTCAAGATGAATCCATGCAACATGGTCAGGACACTTTTGAACGCTGCCATCAGTGCGCAAGAGAAGGGCAGTGCCTGGATTCGTGCTATTGCACTGACCTTGGGAATGAGGCCTAAACCTAACATGCAGCCAGATCACCTCCCATCCTTGTTCTTGGGTCCGATCGGATGGTTCGGCGCGGAGTGCAGATGTTAAATCCCCTTCAAATCGGGGTGTCTGGAGCATTAATTTATTGGTGCATGCAGGGTTTTGTGACTATACGCGAACCATTTGATCGGGGTCGGGGAGTGTGGGTGGTTTTGTTGTCATCAGTAATTATCATAGAACTTGTCATCGGTCAGTCGTGTTTTAAAAGGGGCGGGGGGATGGTTTCGTTTTGATATTGTTTATGTTGTCGATGACCTGATATATGAGGTCATTGTATGGTATGATATATAATATATGCGAGGAACTTATTACTGTTTCGTTGCTTTTTCCCGTTGGAGTTGGCGTTTCATGTCTTCAAAAACAACGATGAAGCAATATGTTTCCACCTTGCCCAAATACTACGTGCACCAACGAAAAGCAGCTCTGATCCTCGAATTCCAAGCTGTTGGACATCACTTGAGGCGCGCCGAACCACTCGATCGGCACATTGTTCTTTTACTATCTTTTCCGTGGTTGTGTGCTATGTGTTGCTCCTAAGAGCATGGTGTGGGAAGCGGAGGGAAGCAGCGTGAGGCCCCACGGACGACTTATTCAGTGCCATCAGAGAGAAGCCTGTGCTAGGCGCTACTTCAATTGCGAGCCCAATGTGATCTCATTTAATGCGGCTTGCAGTGCCTGTGAAAAGGCCCGGTGAAAGCTACTGGTAATTTTCAAAACAAGCAATGTTGGCAGTCCGATAGAATTTAATTTGGACTTCAGCACTTGAGCAAAGCAAGGGTTCAGTTGGCACTTGGCCATTTTCGAGTCAGAGTCACACCGTAATCGGCAACTTGCCGCACCTTTCGAAGTGTTCCACTAGGCTGCTCAATGGATTTGCAGTTTGCAACTCTTCAAGTGGGCAAAGGAGAAAGACCTTCAGGCGCACACAGGGTACTGTAACGATGGGTAACGTGTGACCTGCGCAATCTTGCACTGCAGTTTTTAGCTCAGGCAGATTCAACATGATTCAACTAGAGGCAGCAGTGCCTGCTGCTTGTTGGCTGATCCGTGATGCTGGAGAGCAGCCTCAACTCGCGTGCTTTGCTTTGCCAAGCTTCCAAACATGCTTATTTTTCCGACCGTCTATCTCTGCTTTGAAAGCTGAGACTGAGAGGTTGACACGATCAGCGCGAACGCTTTGCTCGCAACGTGCCGCGGTGCCCGACGCTGGCAAGAGGCCGACCCCTTACAGCTCATCGTTAGACAGTGAATACGTCAATATCATCAGCCGCTGTGTAGTGCCAACCAGATAGGATGAGAGCATGGATAAGCCATGTCTGTGACACGTGTGTAAACCTTCGAGCCATTTGAGGTCCTACAGCTCTTAAAAGAGCTGAGCCTCGGAATTTTCTTGGACGACTTAGCTTTGCGCCTGGCCATTGAGACACACCTGGATCGCCGAGTTGGTCGTGTCGACCAAGATACGTTGGAATTGATGGACCGTGACTGGGCAGCGGTGTGGAGCAGTTTGCAACAGCGCAGTGTGCAGATTGCGGTGGATCTACATCCTGGGCTGACATAACAATCATTAAGAAACATTAAAGGATATGTGATGTACATTTGCTTGTCAGGTGTGATAGCTTCTCGCCGATAGATGCCGATAGGGTGCGACTCTTGCGGCACTCAGGTATGGATCTTCTTTGGATTAATGTTCTGAGTCGGAAACTGTCCAAGGGCTGGCTCGATTTTGGTTGAGACATGCTGAGACTGACACTTCAAGTGGTGCAAGGCTTGCTAGCAGGCTTGCCTAAGGATGTAGAAGGACATTGACATCATTCGACCATGTTCGAGCATGTGCCTAAGCACGTGGCCATATGTGCCGCCTGAATTTGGACCTGAGTGTCTGATGCCGCTCATCACAGGGTCAGAGTGAAAAGCTCACCGAGTCGAAAATGAGACATGCTGTGCTTTCTGTGCTTGTGCTGGTCAAGCTTTTGTTCTTTTAGGGGCGTTTTGTAGGGAAAAGTGTTGCTTGCCACTCCACCGACTCAGCTGTTAAATTACCTTTGTGCAGGGTGACTCCAAAGAAAGTAGACTCGGTCTGTGAAGCTTGAAATTTGCACCTTGTTACTAGTAGCGATGCCCTTTGCTACTAGTAGCGATGCACCTTGTTACTAGTAGCGATGCACTACATGCCGTTTGTTCAACTGCGCAGTGCCTCACTCAGTGCACTCAGGCCTCTCAGTGGGCGAGTACGCAGCGCTGACCTGCGCCGGTGTCTTCGACTTTGAGACAGGTCTTCGCCTCATCAAGGCACGACTCGCATCCGACAGACTTCGTATCGCTCTGAAATTCGCGTAGAAGCGTACTGCCATGTGCATTGTATTCTTTCTCTTGAAAGCTGGTTGAGTGCCTTGTACTCCCATGCGATTCATAGTTGAGTTGTCAATTGTTGTCAACTGCCGTGGTTATCCTTTGAAGAGCGGCGGAAACTGACAGCCTAAATGCATCTAAATGGGGAGACTCAAGCATCCCATGTCCGGCTTTTGCCACGTACACCTTACACATCGCACATCGTTACACCTTCCATCGGAACTGCAATCGAAAGTGCGCACATGATCAGGCTCGTGCGGAGGCCATGGAATTCGAAGTCTCCGGGGCACGTCCTGGTGCCAAGGCCCTGAAACGACAGACTGTTCAGTGCAGTAGCAAGGACGCTACTAGGGGCTCCTGGCCATACTACTAGCAAGAAGCTACTAGGAGCAAAGGGCCTTACTACTAGTAACAAGAAGCATTAGAAACAAAAAATAATATAGATAGAATCAAAATAGAATTAAGTTTCATATTGGCATGTTCGATGTGCATAGTTGTTGACTCTGCGCAGGCGCAGGGAATGTGCCTGGTAGTGGGCCTGGACAAGGATTCGGTGGAGAAGCACTGCCGGGCATCCTATGGAATCCGGAAAGATCGGAAAGCTCAAGGTCCGAAGGTGTTGCGCTGTTGCTCAAGTGTGTTAAGGCGACAGCACACCACTGTCAGCATTTTGGAGAGTGTTCTCGTTGGCAGACGGGTCAGTAGGGCCAGAATAGGGGCATTAAGGTAACCCAGGTACCTCAAGGCCACAAGGCCCAGGAGTTTTGATAGTTTTAAATTCTAAACATCGAAAGGTCTAAAGAAAGAAGGAAGCTTCTTGCTACTAGTAGCGATGGCCTCCAACCTACTTGCCATGGCCTCCACCTAATGGCGTCCTTGCTTCATGTCTGTATAACATATACTACACTTAGGTAAAACGGAACCCCCGTCCCTACTTACTCCAAATTCAAGAAACTGATGTCAGTCAGTTCCTGTTCGGCCAGGTTTCTCAGGTCTTGTGGGGACCGGGAAGATTTGGCTGACCATACCTATGAGATCAGTGGACTCTATTTCTCACGAGTTTGAATGGGAATTATATTAAGCCTGTCCAATCTGTCCAATTTGCAGGGAAGTAGAGACGATCAGAGATGAATTGAAGACTCTTCTAGTGGATCCTAGTGGAACTTCTTCAATCTTCCCGAGGCAAAGCAAGCTCCAGCAAGGGCGAGAACTGCCAGATTGCTGCTTGCCTCTTCTCCCGTGCCTTCTCAGCTGCTGGGACAATTTGCTATTCCAAAGAATGCAAAGTGATGCACAACAAAGAAACAGAACTGAACAAAAAAGCGCGACATTTTTGGGCACAAATGCTTTCCTCAGCTGTAGGTCTCCGGCAGCCTTTCCGCTGTTGAGAGCTTCGTAGAGAAGGCAAAGGCTGCAGGAGCTTTGCACCTCTGGCCAGTTGGATAGACAGTGGTCAGATCCCAAACGGAAAGATGCGAAGCTGAAAGTCGACAAGTCAATGAACGTGGCGATTTGACAGTAACGTCACAAGCTTGTGACGGATCTGCATAATGCTGTGTTGTGTTCGATTGCATTTGCATGCTGCTTGCCCTTAGTTTCCGTAGCAAACGAGTATTTCTTTTCTGGTTAATTGAATTTGTTTGAAAACATTGTAGTCTTTTGTTTTGGTGCTTCGCATGTTTCGCCAGGGACTGCGTCCTTTTGAAGCAAGCAGGTGCCTTTCACTCGAGTGAAATGGCAGACGCCCGGCTCCCGGTCTTCGAGCGGCAGCTCGGGCTCGGCCGTCTCAGACGGGCCGTCGCACGATTGCGAGGTGAGAAATATCCTGGTGAAGGAGTTAGAAGCAACTTGGAACAAGAGGATGCTACTAGGAACAAGTGCATCGCTTCTAGTAACAAGTGCCTTACTAGTAGTAACAAGGAGCTACTAGGAACAAGAAGATGGAGAGTATGGAGATGTCGTTCTAACCAACTGCATTGATGCAGAACTATCTGTATCAGAAAGGTGTTCAATAATTGAACAGTGACCAAGTTCATTGAGCTCTGATGTTGTAAAATGTAAAATGTAAAAGGAGACAGACATGTCGATGCAGTGCAGCCAATCGATGCTGTCACTAGCGCCAGGCGGTGAAAGGAAAAATGATGCCTCCTCGATGCACGGTGATTGTCTCAGGTCCAATGGATAGAAGGTGCCAAGAGGAAACAACATAAACTTTCTGTAGCAGTGGCTGTTCTTGACTGGCAGTGCAAACAATGTCAAGTCAACACACACACACACAAGCTTCTACCAGACAGCATAGACTAGCAAGACTAGCAGCTGACTAGCATACATCGATGAGCTCAGCAGTATTGAGTCAAGCACAAATGCAAGCACACGTGCACCTCGCAGAGTGGCATTTTGTGAATCTGTGACACTATATAACACATTGAAGTTCTCATCCAAACACTGTCTCACTTTCGTTTTCCTTTCAAATTGCTTTGTCCCAATCTGTCAAGCTCACCAATTGAGGTGTATTGTAATGCCAGCGCTAAAGCTGTCGGACCACAGAGCTCGGTACAGGACAGAGTTGGTTTGGCCATTTAAATCAAGTTCAGCAGCTTGCTTGGCCTTTCTTTCCAGGCGCTAATTCGCTTGTTGAAACATATGTCCATTGTGCTTGATGACCTAATTTTGATTGGTCTTGGTAAAGAAGGACCTTTTGGATCGTTTTGGCTTGGTGCATTTCGCTCCCTTCGCAAAACACTTCGCGATGGGATCCGCAAAAGTACATTTGGTGCTTGTGAAAGATCTATCAAAGGTCCCTTTCCAGCACATGCCAACTAGCGATTTATTCTTTGGCAACATGCTTCGTGATGGGTCCACGAGAGATATGTATTTATTGGAAGACAGGCAATTGCTTGGAAAAAGACGTTGATCAGCCACCACTTATCTTTCAAAAAGCTCCTAGTAGCGTCCTCTTGTTCCTAGTAATAAGGCCAGGAGCCCCTAGTAGCGTCCTTGCTCCCAGTAGCGATGCCCTTTGCTCCTAGTAGCGTCGAACACTGAGAGGAGATTGTGAAGATGTTGGCCGAGCAGATGGTCTCACCCGTTTTGTGGGAGCTTTCCATGCAGCAAGCCATCAGCGATGGATGCACCGAGCAGGGCTTCCCAGTGAACCGACTTCGAAGCTTGGTGACCCGATGGCCTGGACAAGGTGGAGGGTGAAAGGCCCAGAGGAGCGAGGCAGTCAAGGAAGTCCTGGGGGCCGGGGTGTTTGGCTGTGAACTCCAACTGAGGTTCTATGAGCTTGGTCCTGGGACACAGCTGAAGGGCATCATGAAGCGCATCGATGGAAAGATCGCAGACAAGATGTCTAACATCTCCGTCTGAGGTGAATCAAACGAAAGAGCAAATGAAGCCTGAACATCAACGAGCAATATACAGCAATGACAAACATCCGTTCACCCGAGCCATTACGAGCTAGTCACTTGTTGATTCGCCTACTTGTCATGGTCCATGAGACCGTCTTCCAGTCTATTGCGAAGGGCGTTTCAGATCTATATTCAACGTCGAACAGTTTCAATGACATGATCTCTGGCAACGTCAAGAAACACACTAAGTATTTCCAGCGCACGGCTGAGAGACGCTTATGTTTCGAGAAGGCCAGTTGGAGCAGTCTTTAAGATTCAAAGGCTATTTCCATTGTTTGCTTCAGAGTCCAATGGCCGACTCCAAACTTTTTCATCTTTCAGTCTAAGTGCGGATCAAAAAGCGAAGCCATCTTTTGCTCTGAAGCTTGTGTGGCATGGGCATGGATCTCACATTCCTGACATAGACCAGTAGCAGCAGTATGTTGTTCTCCTGTGAGGGATGTTTGAAGGCCTCCAAGTGACCAAGTCATGTTGGCGAGGTGACAGGCATTCTGCTGTACATTGCAGATGAAACTTCCAGATTTCAGGCCGTGCCACGCTGCCACGCTGTTTCCATGTTTTTGCGTCCTGCCGACGCAATGCTTTTTGCGTCCTTTTTGTGTCCTCGCACGCAGGTGAGTCCCGTAGAGCCAGCCGAAGCCAATGAGTCCTTCATTGCCGAAGATACCAGCCTCAGCTTCTTCACTATGCTTGAGGTCTGGATCTTAGTATTTGTTGCAATGGACTTCTTTATGCAAGCTGCAAGATCAAAGATCCACTCATTTCTTCTCAGTAACCACCTGACTTGGCCTTGTTGACATCCAATGCGCGCTCAAAGTGTTTTTTAGACGATATTTGTCTTCTCCAATTAGGTCTACACCCGTTCTGCATTGGCAGAGCAGACAACGCCACAAAAACTACTGCTGTTTGACACCAATGCGACAGTGGCAGGCAACTCTTGTCCCTTTCCTTGATCACATTTGCGGCTTTTGAGTACAACGTTGCCACATTGGAGGCTTGAGCTTCATTGACAAGGACTTGGACCGATTGGAGCTTGGCGGAGGGATCTCATGGCAGAGCCCTTCAGACATCTCTCAGCTGGAGCACTATAGGGTCTTTTTGTGCCTTGGTTTGCCAGGTGTGCTATTAGGTTGGAGGCCATCGCTCTTAGCATGAATGTCCAAAGAGCTCCTCCACTTTGGTACACAGTGTGACTACAGGATGCAATAGCATTTAAAGCATTCTAGGAACTAGAAGCTACTAGGAGCAAAGGGCATCGCTACTAGGAGAAAGGACGCTATTACGGGCTCCTGGCATCGCTACTAGGAGCATTCTTGCTTCTAGTAACTAGAAGCTACAGGGGGGAGTCGGTGGCTCGATGGGCACGGAGTGGCAATGTCTCGGAAGGAGTCAGTTGTGCCATTGGTTGTGCAGGGTGACTCTATTACTTTTTACCAAGGCTTGCAGAAGGAGGAAACAGGCCTGGCACATTGAACAATGTTGACCATTGACTTCGAATCTAAATTAATTACTTGGTTTGGTGCAACGTTTGTGCCCTGAATGCAAGGAACCACTGACCGAAAGCTGTAGTTTAAGCCAAGTACTGCAGAACAACGCTACTGGAGGTCGCAAGTGGGTGCTGACTTGGCCCCACAGCTCACGAGCACCACTCTTGCGGCAAACCAGCCTTTGGCACTGAGCCGCTCGCATGCAAAATTGGAGTTGTCCCCAGAGCCTGTCGTCCTATTCAGAGTGTTCCGCTGATTCGTGGGTTGTTCCATGTTATTCCAAGCGCTATTCTATTGATTTGTTTAGCTTTTTGCTCAGTATCACAAGCTCTTAGGCACCGAAGTGGCTGTCTTCACTAAATCGTCTCTCTTCGAACAGACGACTCCTGCTGCGGTTGCCATTAGAGATATTGAGTCAACCGAGCCTTGGCCTTGTTTTCACAAATAGTTGGCTATTGGAATATCATCCGTTTGCATTGCGATTTATCATGTGCCACACGTTGCGTGCAGTTAGTATGTACCTGTGAACGTTTGAATACCCGAGGTAAGCGATGTGGTGTTTGAAGATTTGGATCTGGATGCAGATCAGTTCGGAGGGATCCTGAACTTCACAGAGCCTTTAGATACCACACAGGTGGGATCACAGAGCCAGAATCTTTAGAATTTGATGTTTTTGCTGCCATTGGTGTCATGGTCTTTCATCCACTCTGAGTATCAATTGGACTTGATGCGGTGTCCACGTACGCTTCCTACGGCGCCCAACAAGTACTGCCAACTCCACAGGTCACTGCCTACTCGGTATACCTGGCAGCTGATGCGCAAGGATTCGGACGTTGGTCTCTTCATCCAGACATCACGAGCAGCTTTGCCACCACACAGACTGACATTGACAGGGATGCTCGGCTGGAGCATAAGTCCTTCAATCTAAGTAGCCTAATCACAAGCAGAGTCTTCGAACTTTGGTCCAGTCCTGCGTCTCAGTCACTTGAAGAATGAACGGCATCCACGGCCAAGTCAAGAAAGAGTACAGCTTACTCCTGCAGGCAAACTTCTCCTTCGTCCTGGTCTACACGAAATCTTCCTTTGTTGAACAGTGCCCCTCTCAGTGTGCTCTACACGAAATCTCGACGAGTAGAGAAAGCAACACTTCAGGTCCACACCCGCAGCAGAACAGCTAAATGACACTGATGCTCGAGTAGATAACATCACCTTCATTGACAAGGAGAGCTGTTCAACGCTGTTCATGTTTGAACATCACCTGAGTGATTCCTCAAAAGAAGGGGAAGTGGATGTAACAGGCTTTTTGTCCTTTGGGCAAACCTAGTGGGGTTGTAACTTCATCACACGTTTCTGTCCGAGCGTAGCGGAGGGTTCAGGTCTATGCATGTGAATGTACAGTGGCATTTGTTGATGTACAGTGTATGTGCTGTATGGCACATACGGCACAGTTTTTTTCCCATGCTGAAAGGTGGCTCGTAAGGTGAAGTTCTTGGAACGAAAGGTGTGGTTTCTGAGAGAAGTTTACATCTACGTTGAAAATCGCCTGAATTCTACCTTGGCTGTCCTCGCTTTGTTTGCCTGCATTCTGCGAAACGAAAGTACGATAGAAAGCTTTTGGTATGTCAATACTGAACGGAGCCCAATACAGAATAGATTGTTGATATGTTTCGATCTCTGCAGGACCTGGATGCTGGTGACTTGGGAGGAAGCATCTATTGGCGTCCTGTTGGAGACATTGAACAAATCCAGGACCCGGATGCCGAGATCAGAGATGAATGCATGCAGTACAGAACTCTTGACACTGTCATTTCAGCTGGAGTGTGCCTCCGCAAACACGGACATGGGTTGGATGTGCCCATACTGACTGTCAACATTCGACTGACACTGAAGAGGTATCATTTGTTGATGATTCAAGGACTTTGTCCTGTATATCAACTCCTCTTTGGCAACAGTTCCACGAGGAGTGTACGAGCCGCATCCTGAAATGCCATTCCTACAATCCTGCAAGCAGTGAAGCGAGAAAACCTTGCATCCTTGTACAAACATCATGTCTATGTTCCTTGTAAAGCATTCACTTTGCGCCGAATGTCGACTTAACTGCCGCCGAACTGAGGCTGTCAATTGGTCAAGACTTTGTCCCTGAAAGTCAGGAGCATTTGACCTTTGTTGGCGAGAGTGGCAGATGTCCAAGAGCATACAACGACACAGTCCGACACAGTCCTAAAAGAAGAAAACAATGATGAACAAAGGAAAGAGTTTTGCATACAGAGCTTCGGACAGCAGTCGGCCCGTGAGGAGCTATCCATTTTTACCAGGTCAAAGCTCTTTGAAAGTACAACGCCACAGGCTAGAAAAACTTTGCACTTCGAGTTCGTGGATGTAGGTTCAACTCGACACTCAATGTCAGACATTGAATACTTTTTGTGTTTAATAGGCATGAGGCACCTAGATGTTTGAAAGTAATCACAGACGGAAGAAATAGGGCATGTTTGCATTGTGCTGGTGCCGTGGGTTCCAAATCTGCGCTGCACCAACACACCGATACACCGATATCCCCTGCCCGGGGTTATTGGCCTATCGGCGCCGCACTGATATCCTCCCCTTCTCCGGGATATCGGCATATCGGCGCCGCTCACTTAAAGCCCGCCATGCCGCCACACCGCATGGTTTAATATGTTTTTTGCCCCTTTGTTCTGTTGTTTTTCCTGGCTCACTTGTTTGGATGTCTTCCCACTGAAGCGTTTGTCTCAGTTGGTTCAAGGTGCATAACATCAGTGACACTGTGGCCAGCGTTTCAGGGATCGCCTTTGCAGATGAGGACGCTTCTCCAATCTTTTTTCTGAAGTTATTAAGTTATTGTCAAATCAAGAGCATTAAGAGGCGTTCTCGACTCATTCTTGGCAGTTGTTTGATTCTTTGGCCAAAATAGTGGTTTGATTTCTTGCGCTTTGTTTGCATCAGGACCTGGACAAGTATGAGTTGACCGGGCCAATCACTTGGAATCCACCTGCAGATACATCGCAGGTCACACACTACCAGGCCTTGAATTGATGTACTTCACAGGTTGCTATGAAGCATTCTGTTCGGATAAACTTAGAAACGTTAGGCTTTGGTTTCGGGACATGTCCCCTCAACTATCCTCAACTGAAGGGGACTGGACTTGGCAGCCAGACGTGCGAAGGTCTACTTTGCTGCGTCCAGTCTCGGAACAGGGAGAGTGCAGCTGCAGAGTGGGATTTCTGTGCAAGTGACAGAGAGCTACATCCCGAACAACTTCCAAACCTTCGGGTTTTCACACATCCTCGTGCAGCTTGGCGGGATCACTCTGAGAATTATAAATGGGATTTTGTTGGACCTTACCTTTGACAGGAACAGAAAGAGACATATCATAGAATCATTCCTGTATATGACACATGTAGGTATACTTCCTCTACTCTTGCAGAGCAAACGACTCCAGTGTCGCTGGGGTTCG